TTTTTTTTTTTTGTTTGGCTGGGTTTACCATGGAAAGGGGACATTGGTGCTCCCAGGAAGGAACTCCCACTTGAGGTGAAATGTCCACTTAAGGTACGACGTCGAGGGGTCCGCCACAGCGACAAAATCAGTCGCCGTGCAATTCCGAGAGCCACATGTAGCTGCGGGCCATGCCAAATGGCGACTGACCGCTGCGGGCCATGCCAAAAGGCGTACAACATGGCTGCTGGACCTCCCCTCGCCTCCAGAGGTAAGGGGGGGGGGGGAGTTTTTTTTCTTGAATACTTTTCTGGTACTACAGTCCAGTTGTGGGGCGTTTACTATCCCGCCACCGCGTGCTCGACGCGGCCTCGTGGCAGCCATATTGTATCCTCAACCAACACCCGAGAGGCACGGGCCTGCTCCACCGGGGACGTTCCTCGTCCTCTCTGCGCAAGAGGCGGGTACTTAGCGTGTGTGTCGGCCTTTCGACTCGTTTTAGATCAATTTAAATATTTTGAAACCAAAGCCGGGAAGTTTGCCTTGTATAAGCTAAGTCTATCAATAAAGTGTTTGGAACACCTTTTGGTGCTGTGTTTTTTTTATCGGGGGTCCTCTATAGGACAGGGGCCGATCGTGGAATTCAAATATCAAAGAGGAACTCAAAGGTGGGTGGCAGATGTCTGGTGGCCCCTTTTTGTGGACCTTACACTTTCCTGAGGATCTTCTGCTGGCCATGTGTGGTCCTCCAGAACGAGTTCCTTCTGATCTCTTTACATTTTATGAACAATCGTCTGTGATCCATCACATGGGTAGGACCCACACAAAGGGCCACCAGCCTGCTGCCACCCGCCTACTGTGATCCATCACATGGGTAGGACCCACACAAAGGGCCACCAGCCTGCTGCCACCCGCCTACTGGGATCCATCACATGGGTAGGACCCACACAAGAGGGCCACCAGCCTGCTGCCACCCGCCTACTGTGATCCATCACATGGGTAGGACCCACACAAAGGGCCACCAACCTGCTGCTACCCACCTACTGGGATCCATCACATGGGTAGGACCTACACAAAAGGGCCACCAACCTGCTGCTACCCGCCTACTGGGATCCATCACATTAGATCATCTTCGGTGTGTGAATTGTCCATCCATCCATACTTGAAAAAGGGACATTGTTCCAAGAAATGTGGCGGATGCCAAGATCCAGTCTTTCAAGGATTGTAGTTGCAATTTAAACATTGAAGAGGAACCCACATGATGGATCACAGATTGGTCAACAAATGTATATAAATATCAATAGTCATTCGTAAAATGTTAAATGGAGATCAGCAGGTGTTTGGTATGGAGGACAACACATGACCAGGAGAAGGTCCACAGGAAAGAGTAGGACCCACACATAGGGGCCTGCTACCACCCGCCATTGACGTCCTCTTCAATGTTTGAATTGCATTTGCATTCTTGAAAAAGTTGATACTGTTCAAGAAAAGTGGTGGACGCAAAAGACCGCTCTTTGAAGGATACATATGAAATTCAAACACTGAAGAGGATGTCAGAGGTGGGTGGGAGCAGTCTGGTGGCCCCTTTGTGTGGGTCCTACCCTTTCCTGTGGACCTTCTCCTGGTCATGTATTGTCCTCCATACAAAGTGCCTTCTGATCTCTTGACCTGTATATATATTTTTTCCGAACAATCTACTGTGATCCATCACTTGAGTTCCTCTTCAGTGTTTGATCTGTACATGCATCCTTGAAAAGGGGACTTTGTTCCAAGAAATTCCGCTGGATGTCAAGGTCTACTCTATCAAGGATTGTAGTTGCAATTCAAACATTAAAGAGGAACTCACAAGATGGAACACAGTAGATTTTTCAACAAATATATATCAATGGTCACTCATAAAATGTTAGAGAGAGATGAGAAGGCAGTTGGCATGCAGGACAATACATGACCCGAAGGAGATCCTCAGGAAAGGGTAGGACCCACACAAAGGGGCCACCATGGTGCTGCCACCCACCTCTGAGTTCCTCCTCAATGTTCACATTTTATACACGTCCTTCAAAAAGTGGACTTTGTTCCACGCAAGGTGTTGGATGGATGTCAGCCTGGGCAAGGTTGGTTGTTGAGTAAACATTGATCTTGTGTTTATTGGTCTACTGAAGAGAAGTCATGAATAATATATATCAATAGTCATTTGTGAAATGAAAAGGCACTTGGTATGGAGGACAGTACATGACCAGGAGAAGGTCCTCAGAAAAGGGTTGGACTCTAACAAAGGGGCCACCAGCCCCACAATAATATATCAATAGTCACCTGTAAAATGTTAGAGATCAGAAGGCACTTGGTATGGAGGACCATACATGACCAGAAGAAGATCCTCAGGAAACCGTAGGGGGCCCCCAGCCTGCTTCCACCCACCTCTGACATCCTCTTTAATGTTTAAATTGCATATGTATCCTTCACAAAGTGGACTGTAACATCCACCACGTTCCATGCAACAATGGCCAATGATGCATATGCAGTTCAAACATTGAAGAGGAACCCAGAAGATGGATCATAGCAGATTGTTCAACAAATATAGATCAATGGCCATTAGTAAAATGTTAGAGAGAGATGAGAAGGCACTTGGTATGGAGGACAATACATGACCCGAAGGAGATCCTCAGGAATCGTTAGGACCCACACAAAGAGACCACCAGATTGCTGCCGCCCACCTCTGAGTTCCTCTTCAATGTTCACACATCACATCCACCGTCTTCAAAAAGTTCCACGCAAGGTGTTGGATGGATGTCAGCCTGGGCAAGGTTGGTTGTTGAGTAAATGTGGATCTCGTGTTCATTGGTCTACTGAAGACAAGTCATGAATAACAATATAATGTGTGATGGTTTCATATATCGGGGGGTTGGGTTGTAGTAGACCAGAAGTATCCCTCCCTTTTCCTTTTTTTGGGGTGTGGCTTTGTGTGGAACTCAGAAATGGGCATAAAACCCCTCATGGTGACCATGACAATGGGTTCCCAGACTCCTCCTCCTCTTGTAATTGTCTCGCGGCCTCTGCACTACGCTGGACAACAGACGGCCCGTTCAATGTAACGTGGCATCCCCGGCGATGACCTTGGCGTTGATGATCCGGGCATCTGATCTTCAGCCTCAGTGCTGTGTGTCATGTGCTGATAATAATGGCAGACCCATCCCTCTGGCACTCATTCTGAAAGATTTCAGCGGCTGCACTGGAAGGACTGATGTCGGTGAAGGGTCTCCGGCTCGGGGTGGAGGAATCCTCGCAGGGCCCGTCTACGTGGAGGAAATTGGTCTTTTTTTCCTTTCACTTCAACAACATTGGAATCTAAACAAGTGTAAGAGCCGAAGATTCATTGTATATAATAATAATATCCTGTATACATATATATACTCCGCGCCATAATTATAGGCAATGGCCGCCAGCAAACATACACCGCCGACATATAGACGTCTCCAAGAGTAGAAGAGCGGTCAGGGAGAGATGGAGGACCGAAGAAGAGGCCCCAACAGGCAGGGAGGTTACGGCCTATGTACAGTATATACTATCATAGCATGGGAACTCCTTAAATTAAAGGACAACACCACTGATAAATTATATTTCAGTTTTAGTTGGCCACTGCACAATGGTGAGATTTCCCTCCAGTAGTTTGTGTCTCTGCCCCGCCCACAATGGTGAGATTTCCCCCAGTAGTTTGTGTCTCTGCCCCTCCCACAATGGTGAGATTTCCCCCCAGTAGTTTGTGTCTCTGCTCCTCCCACAATGGTGAGATCTCCCCCTAGTAGTTTGTGTCTCTGACCCTCCCACAATGGTGAGATTTCCTCCAGTAGTTTGTGTCTCTGCCCCTCCCACAATGGTGAGATTTCCTCCAGTAGTTTGTGTCTCTGCCCCTCCCACAATGGTGAGATTTCCCCCAGTAGTTTGTGTCTCTGCTCCTCCCACAATGGTGAGATCTCCCCCTAGTAGTTTGTGTCTCTGACCCTCCCACAATGGTGAGATTTCCTCCAGTAGTTTGTGTCTCTGCCCCTCCCACAGTGGAGATCTTCATTTCCCAGCATGCTCTTCTCTGTACATGGACACACATACCTTATTAAATATTATTTATTAGACCTCTGACCTCTGGGGTGTATAAAATACAAACAATTATAAAAATATAAAAAAACAAAAAACTTAAAGTGCAAAAAAACTGTTACAAACGAGTGCAAAACGCAACAAATATCCAATGGAAGGGATAACGGTGATATAAAAGAGTCCCGAGGAAGGCCGCCCCCTACTGGCCGCCACCGGAGGGGCAGCTGCCAGATAAATGGAGGAGGCCGGACACAGCCTCTAATTCAGACAACGTGTATGGACTGTCCCTGTACACCCCAATGGGCACACATACTGACTTAGAGAGGCTCCTCCCACTCTCT